CCTTATCCTTTTTCCTAATTTATTTCTGTAAAAGGAAAAAGAAACAAGTATGGCTTTTAATTTGGATGCCAAATTAAAAAGAATCCACAGCCAGTAGTGCCCAGTCCCATAGATGGGGATGGACCAGCTTGAAGGCAGAAAGCTGAAGGTCTCCTGTACACAGCTAAGCAGAGGCCCTGGGTGACACAGTGATGGGGTGTCGGGCTGGTGACACCCTATCACAGTTGTCATTAGTGCCATGGTAAGCAGACAACAGGCACAGTAAGTTGTCAAACCCATGCTGGCTTAGGCAGGAGCTGACAGGCAAGACTTGGGAATCTGAAAACCAAATTCCTGCCTGTGACAGGTGATGAAATGTGGATTTCTGTAGAAGTCTCTTTCTCCTTCACCCCCTCGTTTAGGGATAAAATAATGAGGATATAAAAGAATCTAATTACTTTCTGTTGGGTTTTATACATCTGTTTCGAGGCTCTTATGGGAATGCTCACACTGAGAAGGTATCAGGGAGTTCGTAGGAAATCGCTTTCTTCTTGTGCTTTAAAATGTATGGGGAAGATCTTAGAATCATAGAACAGTTAGGGTTGGAAAGGACCTTAAGATAACCATGGACTCACCAAGATGATGGCTTGTGTTGAAGGACCATAAAGCTCCTCCAGCTCCAACCCGTGCCACGGGCAGGGACCCCTTCCACTGGAGCAGCTTGCTCCAAGCCCCTGTGTCCAACCTGGCCTTGAACACTGCCAGGGATGGGGCAGCCACAGCTTCTCTGGGCACCCTGTGCCAGCACCTCAGCACCCTCCCAGGGAAGAGCTTATCTCTATTCTGTCTCCCCTCTGGCAGGTTAAAGCCATTCCCCCCGGTCTTACCACAAGAGGCCCTGCTAAAAGGTCTTTTCTCCCTTCACCCAGCTCAAACCAGGCACAGCACTTGAGGGAAGCACCCCAGGAGCAGCTGCCATCGCCCACGTTTATGTGTGAGCTCCTGCTCGCATCAGCCAGGTACAAGCTGTCTGCTGGCCGTGAACCTCCCGTTACAGCCTCCTGTGCCATAGAGCACCCATGGGTTAATAGAGTCCCCAGAAGAGAAGGGTTTCCTAAAGCAGCATGAGTGACAAGAGTGCGAAGAGGGGGCCTATTCGGATTATGATCCAATTCATTCCTCTGTGAAGGAACCTCCTCTGCTGTTGAGACTTCAAACTTCTGAAGCAAACTGCTGTGATCTGAAGGAGATTGGCCATAAACCTATTTGTATTGAAAACTTCACCGTTAGTGAACTTCATTCATTAACATTCGTCCTGGCAAGGTTTCCGTATCTCAGCGTTCATTTTATGCTTTAATTTGGTTAGTAGGTCTTTGTTTCATCGTCCTATTGAAAGGAGAACAAAGAAGGTTTAGGCGATACAGTGGAGCAATACACTGTATTTTATCTCTGGAAAGCCCAGACAAAGTCAGCAGGCTCTGATACCCTCTGATTCGGGGACTTTCTTCATTCCATTTCTCCTCCAGGACATCTGGAATCACAAATCAGTTGCGGAGGAGAAAGATCCTCACTGCGTATAGCTGCGGACACCTTCAGAGGAGAAACACCTTGTCAAGCACAGAAATGATGCCCTGAGCACAACACACGGGAAGATTATCTTAGGGAAAGTGCGTGCCCATTACTCCAGGGATGGATGCTCTGTGGGTGTACCTCTGTCCTCCAATAAAAATCAGTTTCTTCCACTTGTGAGTGTTGTGCTTCTGCCTCAATGTTAGCAACATGTATTTTCCTGGGTGCAGAACTCATTAACACGTTGCAATTCCACCTCATGCCATGCAAGCACCCAGCGCTGCTGCTCTCCACAGTGACCCGCAGGCACAGGCTGCCCTAAAGGAGGATAAAAAGGGTAAAGAGGAGAAATCCCCCACATGGTTCCCCAATAAATTGAGCTGCTCCCCGTTCCCGATGCCGGCTGCTGTAAACCAACACAGCTCCGACTGACTCCCAACTGACTCTAGATAATCATCTGGCCCTGGAGTAGAGGCAGGATTCAACAAGCTTTTCTCATGGAATGGCTTTCATGCTCTTTTCTGGAGTACTTACTACCAGGATTCACTGTACCACTTAAATCCACTATGCGTGGTGCATCTCTAAAGGAGGGGGATTGCATCTTGTCTTCTTTTTACGGCGCAGGCAGATGGTGAGCTGTCTTCTCACTAAAACCCACTTTCTAAACTTCTAGCTGGTTCTGCTCCAGCTATCCATGGAAATAGATGCTCACAACTCATTTTCCTCTTGGATGAAGCTACCCTGAGAGGCAGGAAAACCATTCAGAGACACCAATGCTCTCCCATGACATCCAATGAGCAAACCGAGTGGCAACCCACCCACTGGGCCCTCTTCCCATGGGTGGTGGTGACCAAACCCCAGATCATAAAAAGGATTCAGAGGAACACGAACGCCCAACCGTAAGAATCAATTGGTCAACCAAGGGAGCAGCCCTGTGGTGGAGTCCACAGAGAAGAAACACAACCCATGAAGTTATGGTAGCAAATACAAACATCCTGGGGAGCAGCGAGTTTGCTCAGCACTGGGTGGTACAAGGGGCCATAAGGAAGGTCCATGACACATGGGTAAGTATTTCTGGAAGCCAGTGACTCTTTTATACCATGGATTCCTGATGCACACCCCAGTGTAAGTGAAAGGGGAGGCAGGCTCTGTGCGGCTACGGAGCAGGGCTGGCTTCAAACCGATGACCTGGAGGTGAAGGGCCCCTTCTCCCGTTACTAATCCCATCAGCCACACGAGCCTCCTGAAAACGGTGCTTTGGGGTTTCACTGCCATTTATAAAATCATAAACCCCAGGGTAGGAAACCAACCCGGCGGCAGCGATGCTCAAGCATGCACAGAAATAGCTGAAGGGCCAATGGGCCAAGTTCAGCCCTCCCGGGGCACCTTGAATAATGGTGTGGATTCGATGAGAGAAGTCCTGATTAATGGAGGGGAGGAGGAAATGGACAAAACAACTTATCAAAAGCTAGTTCTTTTATTATTGCAACCAGAAATGACCAAAGACTGTGCATTTTGTATGTGTGCACATTACACGTGGGAACAGAACCAACCGAGAATCAGGTCTGCAACATCCAACAATTCAAACTGAAACCAAAGGCAAAAATCAAACCCAAGAACCTTCTTGACTGGTAATTAGCAGGGACAGACTGTAAATGAGGTGGCATTGAACAAAGAAGGTAACAGTGCACTTGTAATAAGCCAATTTCAGCCGTATCTGCACTGATATGCAATTTTAACAAGTTCTATCAGCAAAGCCTCATTTCCCTGCCTAAACCTGGTACTGTTAAAACCACAACTGATTCATTCCCATTAATATCAATTTGGATGCATTTAGGAAATAACTCTTAATATCTGTGCAACAGGTTGAAGGGTCATATTCTCAAACATCAGTTGTTTCTCACTGGGTGGCTTTGAAGTAGAAATATCCCCAAATGAACCAACAAAGTCTAAAAGCCCTTTGGAAACAAAAGGTGTCATTTTTGTTTTCACGGTTTTAGCCTTGTATTTTAGTTAGCTCCCAAAACTACTGCATTACAATATTTAATACTGACTTATTTTATCTCTGCAATTTCCCCCTCTCACTTTGAATGGGGAATACAACTCATATTCGCTTTACTGGTCTTTCCAAGGGGATACAGAAGGCAGAGGAACGCATCCTCTGGCCTTGATGCTATTCTGTATCTCCTCCATCTAAACACGAGCCTGATGGTTTTGGCAAACTACCACTTGTTAAAGGAAAAGAAGGAAGTAAAAAAGCTCAGTTCCAGCTACAGATTAACAAGCTGCAGCTCCCATTAGAGGTGCAGAGCCCCCTGGCTTAAGCTCTCAATTCAGAAAGCATTTAAGCACGTGTATAACGAAGTGTGGGAACAGGCTCCTTGAAGGCAACGGGATTACTCACTTCTTAAGAAGTTACCACACGTTTAAGTGTCTGAATCAAGGCCTAATTACGGTGCCGGCCAACTCCTCATGCACACACCACTGGGGCAGATCTCACCAAGCCCTTAAAGCCATAGGGACAGGGTGGATGTCACCCCGGTTTTTAACAGCTGCAAGGCTGGTTTTCTTGGGCAAACCAAGGAAAAAAAGCCCTAAAAAAAATATAATCATAATTACAAAAAAAAAGAGAGAATTACTTTATAAATATCAGGTATTTACACGTGTGAACATCTTTTAATGGGAAGTGTTTTTACACACCAATGAAATGTACAAGCAATGATAAGGTACAGTTGACAAAGACTAAAAAAAAAACCACCCCCCCCAAAAAAAAACCCCAATGTATAAAATATATTACAGGTCCACGGAAATCAATTCACACGGAAGGAAAAAAAACCCACCCTGACACAATAGAAACTTTGTTTTTTTCCTTTTTAAAAAATAGAAGATATATCACAAAAGCTTGAACGTGTTTTATTTTATGTTAGTACTAAAAATCAAGGGCAAAAAGCTTCATATATTCTCGTCACAAAAATATTTACCAGCCACTCTTTTTTATTTCGGCCTTATGACTATCTGGCTCAGCAGGAGTCGAGGCTGAACTGCACCCAGACTACAGAAAACCATTCCAGAAGGTCGTCTCGGTTTACAACTTACTGCAAATTTACATTTTCCCCTCCTCTCAGCACCTTCCTGCAAAGGTTCAAGAGGGATTAAGAACAAATGGAGAAGGAACAGGGCAGGTATCTGTATTTACAACATTCGCCTTTGCTGCTGCCGAGCCACAGGAGCGGGAGCGGGAGCATGAACCACCGAAGTCTTCATGTCACCCTGTGCAAATTGGTCTCGGTAGGTGAAAGACAGCATCAGAATGTACCAAAATCCAACCCCCACCCCGCTTGGATGGCCTGGGAAAAGCAACAGCCCCTGATGGAGAGCATCTCCTCACCCCTCATTCGCTCCAGAGTCATAACCCTGACCGCCGGTGACGCAGGGTGGGACAGGAGCTGCAGCCGAGTCAGGGCAGAAGGTGCCGCGGCAACCACGCGATATTGGTCCACTGCAGAGTCCTCAGTGTGCCCTGTGCTTCCTCTTCTTGTGTTTCTTATCCTTCTTTTTGTTGGCACACTTGGAGCAGAACCACTGCATCTCTTCTGGGGGTGCAGCCGTAATCCCAACGCAAGGCCTAGGAAGGATGGGAAAACATCTTATAACTTCAGTGGAGTAACGTTGCTTTTGTTTCTTACCCGAAGAAATGAAACTTTTCAGTGGGAGGCGTTCAAATTAATTTGAGCTGTATTAATTCAAATGAATATAGAAATTACATTATCATTATCTTCATGATCGAACAGAAACTGAAAACAACACCTGCTTTGAAACAAATATTGAAAAGACACTCAGATAAGAAGTGTTATTTTAATAGAAGACAGAAGTGCACTTCCAGGTATAATAGGCTAGATTTAAAATAATATCAAAAGCTTCTTTAACATCGGCAGCAAAACTTATGATTTTATGTAGCTGTTTAAGAAAATGCCTAAAAAAGTGATTAATTCCCTCCAACCCTTTTATGAGAGCTGACATTTATATTACTGTTCATACAATGCTTCATAATTTGAAATGTCTCTCTGTATACACGATGCTCATAATCCTGGAGTTCTCACAGAACTGCCGGAATCAGCAATATTTCCCAGCAGTTTCCAACCCAAATGCCCATTAATTAAAAAGCAACTCTCCTTCACAGCTTGCAATCTGCTGCTTCAAATTCCACAGACACAGAGATAAAAATATCTCCCAGATGATTAAACTGGACACATTAAAACCCTTTAAATATTCCTGGCGTCAAAAACCATTACATAAAAAAGAAGGGCTTTTAACAACAGAGCCCCAGTCTGCCGAGGAGCAGCAGAAGAGGAGGGATGAGCAACTTACCAGTGATACCAATCGTCGCAGTCATCACAACCTATCATTGGACTGCCATCATCTGGCTTGTTACAGCCAGGACAGATCCAGATCTGGTTACCCCACTCGTCTCGGATCTGGTGCAAAGAAAAGGGAAGTCAGCTGGTTTTCAGGGCTAAGCAGGCAGCAAAATTGATATTTAATAGTTAATGCAATTCTCGCTTCTCTAGCACAGCGATTCGGCAGCCGCCGCTGTTCTGAATTCTCTGATCAGACGTGCTTGGCGTGATGTCTCAATTGATTTTCCTATGGTGTACATGACAAAAGCATGCATTTTTCTCTACTGTCCTGTAAACCAGTAAAGCCAGTTACATTCACGTGCAGCAGCCAGGGCTTATGGACACAATTCCTTCTCTGTCTATACTACAGCAACTCTAAATTCTACCCTGCTAATGGCAAGAGTGGGTACCGGCAGCCTCCCGTGGAGGACAGCAGCTTATATACACATAAAACATACAGTGCCATGTGTATATATTGCCGTATTACTTATTAGCCAAAGTCTTCAACTCCAGCTAGCTGATAAGATCAGGATATAAAAAAAGTTGTTACTGAGTAACTTTCCGTTCCCCCATGACATTTTTGTGGCAGTTCAATTCACTAAAGGGTAAAGGAAACAAGAAAGGCAGATCATTTACAGCATGAGGCAGCTGCTCACTGGATTTAGCATATTCAGAGCTTTATGATTTAGATGTTTATATCCTGATTTTAAAGCTGATTGATTTCAATAATCATTCCTGTCTGCTTGACTGAGTCTTGGGGGGGGTCATGAAGATGATGAGAAGGGCTGGAGCACCTCTCCTACAGAGCCAGGCTGAGAGCTGGGCTTGTTCAGCCCGGAAAGGAGAAGGCTTTGGGTAGACCTCAGAGCAGCCTTCCAATACCTTTGTCAATCACTATGAGGGTGGTGAGGTACTAGAACAGGGTGCCCAGAGAAACTGTGGCTGCCCCCATCCCTGGCAGTGTTCAAGGCCAGGCTGGATGGGGCTTGGAGCAACAGGGCCTAGTGGGGTTGAAACCCTATGGCAGGTTGGAACTGGATGAGCTTTAAGGTCCCTTCCAACCCAAACCATTCCATGATTCTATAATCTAATCTCCCATCAGCAAAGTCATTTTAAGTTGCTAGAGAAGCATCTGCTGTGCTTGGTGTGAAGAGGTTTGCAGTCATTGCTGTGGGGTGATGCTGCTGGGCAGAGGGAGATGCTGGGCTGTGGTGCGGGCTGTTGGGCTGACAGCTACAGCCCTTTACTACCTACTTGAGCAACGTGGATGTACCCACACCATCCACCATCCTCCAGCACAGGCACCGGTGGTGCTGGGTGCAGGCAGCACTGCCTGATGTCTCACTGAAAGGAGATACCCTAACTTTCCCAAACTGCTGAATGAGGATGTTAAATATATTGCATCACTTCTCACTCCTCAGTGAGCCAAGGGTCGCGGAAGCAGAGACACCGTGTGATTGCTGAGTGCTATTTTAGTACAAACCACTGAGAGTTAATGATCAGAGCACACTGACTGAGATGCTATCCTACAGGAAGATCCCACATCCTTTCTTTCTTCTTTTTAAACTCCTGTCTTCCCCTGCAGACGGAAGTTGCACACCTCTGTCACACTGGCTCCAATCTTATCTCTGGACAAGCTTTCCCATGCGACCTGGGGGAAACCATTTCATCATTCTGTGTCCTGGATTCCCTTCATACAAGAGGCTAATAGTTAGTAATTATTCCCCAACCTCTCTCTCAGCTTTTGGACTTATAAATGTCTCCTATCAATCAGCAGTCTCTCTGACTGTGCACATAATTGGAGCCTAATGCAGTAAACCCCTGGTTTAACTATAATGTTGCAAAAGAACTAACCTGGAGTCTACATGTCCTCTGAATTCCCTGTAAGTGTTACCACCAGAAGTACGCAGACAAAGTTCCAGGTTTTTCTTCTTTAAACTAACATAACCTCTAAATTATTCGCTTTACTGAAGAAAATGGGATGTAGTGCAGTAGTCTGGTAATGTTCCTCTTTTAGAGTGCATTTCCAAGCTTGATGTGTAAGAGTTTCACTGTGTTTACACCTACGATGTGTATCCTACACCCTGAAGATATGCACAGCCTATGTGAGGTCTAGTGCTGTAACTAACTCAGGAGTGAAATGTAGCAGCTGTTTAAATAGAAACCAGTAACATGATATACAACAGTTTAAGTCCAGCAGGGAAGAGCACTTTTTCCATTAAAAAAAACAGGGTAGATTTACATTAGGAATCATTATAAAAACAGGGATTAAAAAAAAAGAGGATAAATATGATGATATGCTGCAATTAAAGCACCACAAACTAATAAAAGCAAGTTTTAGCTGTTTCAAACGCTGAGTTTTTAAAGTGCTACCCACTACAGATGAGCAAGGTGTCACCAACCAAGCTGGAACTTGGCCAGGACAGGGAGGATAACGACACTGCTACTGTTGTTAATGGTATCTGCTGCTCTTGAGTGGTCAGGAATGGTCAGGACTTCCATTTTACACTGCATCTAAAGCAGAAAGTTTCTGCCTGGAGGTATGTCCATGTCCTGTAGGGAATGTAGTTCCTACATCATGTCTGATGGGAGACTTCTCAAAAACAATGCAATCTTAACGCCGCCAGACAGAGGTCACAGTCAGAGCCTCTGTCAAACAGACAGGCTAATGAACTACCTACAGCCTTCCTGAGATGCACAAACATCTGCAATTTCTGTATGCTGAGGAAGGCAGGAAAGAGATTTGTAGACTCGCCACATTTCAAACGAGGGCTAAGTCAAACTCTTGATGTTGTACCAGGTTTTGTACTTTACCTGACTGACAGCAAAATCTATGGTGAGTTTGACATTTGAGGTTTCAATTCAGTACTTATGAAAGCACCTATATAAAAATATTTCCACCTTCAAAAAAAGATGCTCAAACTCAGTGAGCAGAAAAAACCACGGGGAATATAAATGGATTTATGGAAACTTAAAACACTGAACTGGGAACAAAGGAAAAATTCAGTCCAAGTAGCAGTGTTTCAATGGTTATTAATCCCTCAAACCGTGCACGGAAGCGAGGGAAGGATAAAGAGTGGCTTAATGAAGAGGAACATCATGAGGTACCACCAGTTTGAGAGGATGAGTCACCCAGGAGCTCAGCAACTCAAGAGAGGAATGGGGCAAACACGGCAGCGTGTGTAACCTACCACGTAAGTACTGACGGTCTCGGTCACCACGCTCCTAACCGGAGCTTTGGAGCCTCCTGCCGCCGAAACGGCTGGAGAGGGCGGTGGGATCAGGACTGGTGAGACAGTGGCTTGTGGAGGAGGAGGAGCTGGAGCTGGAGGAGGGGTGACATGAACGGGAGCCGGTACCGGTGATGGAACGGGTGGAGGAGTTTTGGGTCGGCTCACAGGCGTAGCAGGTTTGGCCTCTGGAGCTGGCACCACTTTGCTGATGACTCTGTAGGACCAAAAATGAGAGCTGTTAGAGCTGATGGGAAAACAACTATCACTGGCTAGATATGAGGAAAATATAGTACAGCTAATTCACATCAGCCTTGAGTCAGCAAAGAGGCTGTTTCAACCCAGCGCAAGGACTGTTGCACTGCTACACCCATCCACTGGACAGGACAATGCACAGAGCCACTGCAAAGCAAACAACAGGCCAGCCTGAACCACTCTATAGCTCCCTGTCATCCAAATATTCCTTGTGGCTTTACTAAACCTTGTTTCGTTAAGTTTTATGACATTAGCTTGGTTTGTGGGAAGTACTGGAAAGGAAAGTTAATCAGCTGTGAACAGCACTGATTTTAATTTTCAAGCTGAGAGACGATACCGTCCTCTTAACATCCTACATTAGGGGGTTCTTCAAATATTTGCTAGTTTGGTATTTCTCTCCCCAGATGTTTATGAAATCAGCAGTGGGTCTAGTCAGGACAAATAAATGACGCACACTATACACTCTGCAGTTCAACTATTGCTACTTACTCAAGCAGCTGAAGTAGACAGGATGTAGCTCTAGTAAATACACAGTACAGAATAATCTTGCCCAGGAAGGGAGATACATAGAGGACCCAACGTTTATTAATGATGTTGATACACAGTGTTACTGATGTGTATGCAATTTAAGAAGGCAGAAAAAGCCCTTCCTATAAGGCTCTAGATTAAAAACTTAAAGAGAAGGAAAAGGATGCTTTAGAAAAAAAGACAAAAAAAAAACAAACAACCAAAAACCAAAACCCAGGATAGGTCTATTTGTTTTACCACATTTTGGTAAATAATTTAATGAATTTATTTTTTATTTGAATGGTAAGTGTGGGAGTGCACTCGATTTGTGATGGGACTGTATGAAGAAGGCAAATTAAAGAAAGGTTAGACATTCCAGAGAGGAGGATAGCTTAGGAAAGCAGAAAACCAGAGACATCAGTAGGAAAACCATGACCAAAATGAAATGGCACCAACTCCTGAGAACCAGGCAAGTCAAATGCTTGACTTTTCCACTGGGAACTTGACAGTCAACTTTAGAGTTTACTGACACCCTATTATGGTATTCAAAAGGCAGTATCACTACGATCAGAAACACTGTCTGCATTTCAAGTCAATAATCTGAGCCATCGTTTGAGAAAGGCTTGGAATTATACAGTATTTAATGCTTGGCTGAGATAATAGTGTTTTCCTCCCAAGATATTCCACTTGCACTACTAAATCAGAACTAGTTATAGTGAAAACAGTTATCAAAAGGATGCAGAGCGATGGGTTTGGTATTCCTGCTTAATCTGGCAACTGCAGCATCACACCTACCTTCTGAGACCTACTCTGAGTGACTAGGGGAAGATAACCAAAACCTAGGAAGTTTAGAAGCTTAGAGTGGAGCAGAATCTGGAAAGTGTTAGATGATTTTCCACAGCAACACTGAAGCTACTCACAGCACTTGATGTCCTAGTGATTGCTTCAGGTACCTAACCTGGGAGCTCAGGCTCTTTATGTGTGTCAGTAAGGTGCGAGACCGTGAGTCAAAGGACAGGACTCCTCATTGATGTTGCCTGTGACTTGCAGAAGGAAGGAAGTCCTCTTATCAGGCCATCCTGGCTGCAACCTAGGCATCAAACCCAGCCTCTTTCTCCTGTTAGTGGGCTACATTCGAAAACCCACTGATACCTCCCACCAAGAAAGCTTTCTCTTTGGCTCCTGAATGTCCATGATGTGTTCCTGGTTCAATGAAAGTCTCAGCGTGTGGCTCCCTGGGGCTCTGCCACCCCAACTCAGATGAGCCTTCTGTGCCTTCCTCCTTCCACTGCTCCCCCCGAGAGCCCTGGCTCCCAACGCCAAATGCCTAAGACCTTGGTTTGTGGCAATGCTCCCATGGGTTGCAAAGTCACCCTCGTGACTTGAGAGCCACCTCTCAATAAGGAATCTCAGCAATTGTAAGAGTGAGGAGACGGACGGAGAGCAAAATACGCGGCACAGCAAAAGTCGTTTGGACAGTCTCAAACATCATTACCCTTCTGTCCCTCTTGTGCCCCCTGCAAGTAAACAAAAGCCCTGCTATGAGCTCCTCAGAGAGTCAACCCTCCCCAAGTCTAGACTAGGGAATGTATTAGCTAATAGGATTTTAAACACAACTCCGCACACAGCGTCAACAGCTTTAAAGGCGTATGAGCTAACACAATCTGAATAAGAGTGACCATGCCCAGCTAACAGATGAAATTAAATGACACAGTTTCTTGGTCGAGATAAAGCCAAGTTTGCCTCTCGAACAGGGTCTTGGGAGCCACTCTGTTAATAACTGCAGGAGCCACAAGGAATGCCACATACGAAATCCTCCAAAACTACAAATATTCATTAGCGGGCGACACACACTCATCGATTGGCTGGTTTGCTTCGAGTGTGCAATTAGGACGTGTTCACTATATAGGGCAGCTTGTTTATCTTGATTTCAGAGCTCAGTTATCAAAGCAGAAGATCGGCATTTCGGAGCACGCTTGGGCCTACCACTCCCTTGGGCTAATGAAGTTCAGAGACTTCAGGCTCCGGAGTGGAGAAATGAATGGCTTTGTGCTACACCATCAGAGGTGATGGAGTAATCCCAGCGAGGGTGGTTTAGCCTGTCCTCTATCCTGAAGAAGGGGCTGCATACACGGCAATATGGAGGTGGGGAGAAATCAAAGGGAAACAGCAGTCCCACGACTAATAATTAATGTTACTTCAGACTTGGAAGAGAAACCTGATATCAAAACACTATGTAAATGCTGGCGAGATTTATGAGCTCTGTTCTATAGACAGAAGTGAGGCACAGAGCATACTGCAAGCAGGCTGTACTCAATACAGCAGAGCTTCCACCCTCCTGGTACCTAGGGCCCTGCTAGGATTTAAGCTCTACATTTGGACATAACCATACAGATATCATTACCTTCTTTTCCAAGCATGTTTTCCATATGCTCCCCAAATCAGCACTTGTATATATTGAAGTTCACAAGTACAACACTAAATAAGACAAACTTCCACCTTCTTCCCCACCCCAATCCCAAACGTCTAAAACTGAGGCTGGATTAATTCTTTCGGAGTAATCAAACACAAATGAACATCAACAACCATTAACACACTCAGTCTTGACACAAGGACTGTACTCCTCTGCAGCCTGTTTGCCTGGCAATGTATCACAAACGTTCTACACTGGAAGGTACAAAGTCAGTTAAATGCTTCTGAATCAAACCAGTTCCTCCAGAATGAAGGGTATGAGAAAACCCAAGTGTTCACTTATAACTGAACACAGGCATCAGTACACCTCTTTGTATAGGTAGAGCGAATGAAACCCCATTTGAATCATTACTCTGGGGCAATCATCAAGATAGAAAAGACTCTATCAAGGCCAGGTTGGACACAGGGGCTTGGAGCAAGCTGCTCTAGTGGAAGGTGTCCCTGCCCGTGGCAGGGGTTGGAGCTGGATGAGCTTTAAGGTCCCTTCCAACCCAAACCACTCTGTGGTTCCATGAATCACCCCATTCACAGGTTCAGATCCAGACCCAAACAGGACGAAAATGAAGTGCTGGCTTGCAGGCAAAGTGCAAATTCCACCAAGACTTTAAGTGTCACAACAGGTCAGTTGGTTTATGATCCGCTCTAACTGGCATGACCTGTAAAATGCCACATCTGGAGCAAAATGAGGCTCTAAAGTGTGAAACGGTTTCCTGCCTTTGGAAGTAATTTATTTGATTCCATTCTGATCCTTACATCTGAAAGCCCCGTTGACTGCTTCCCATAAACACAGGGAACAGACATGTGCACCGAATGGAAATGGCTTTTCAAAACCAGGATGTGAGCCACAGGGCTGAATGATTGCTATGGGTGATGAGCTCCCAAAACCTGCTGTATCAGGACTGCGAAAGGTCTGGGGAAAAATCACAGCAATCTTTGTTTCTGAGCTCCACGGAAGCTGGTTCTCTGCCCAAAGGGAAAACAAGTTTGAAAAGTCCTAATTCTTTAATGAACCCATGACTCATTTTTAAGCAAGGAGCTAAAGGGGTCTTTGTACGTCAGAAAGTGACACCATCAACTGCACTGACTAATCAAAACTAGTACCACTCACTGGGATTATTACAAGTGATAGTATTATCTATTAGCATTCACATTCCCCTTGTTGATATAACTTCCTTGATGCCAGAAAATTAAGTGGGGCAACTATTTTATTACTGAAGAATCTCACACCTGGAACTGAGATTGTTGTATCAGACAAAACCCCTAAATATTCTAAGACCTATGGGTAGAGTGTCAAAACCACCCAGGGGGATTCAGAAGATTTCCATATGGTTTAGATTCCTCACAGATTAGAAGTATTCTGAAAATTGTATTCCAAGCCTGGAGCAGAATCAGTGTAATTTAAGCTGTGTAATGTAGGCTAATTCCCATATTACTTTTAGAAAGGGAAATTTCAGTTTTTATCTCTTATGCCCTGCTGAATATTTCATTCTGTGCAAACAAGTCGTACTGGCAAATAAGGAGCTCCAGAAATACACATAGTGACCAGATTCATGCATTTGGAGAGTGCCAAAATGCATCAAACCTCCCGTGGAGCCCCTGGCAATTCTGCAAGTGAAAAGGCTGCGGTACTTACACTTGAAATGTAAAAAAGATATAAATAATTAATTTGGTAAGCTGGCTGAAACGCGATATTCCTCTCTATCAAGGAAAATGAACTCCGAAGGCTTATCCCAAGATAGCACTTCTGTGGGCTGTGCTTGGTCTCATACAGACGGCACAACTTGCGCGTTGTTGACCTTCAGTGGTGCACATGGAGCTCACCAGCCTATTTGCCATCACTATAGCAGAACCTCACAAACATCCACGGGCAAATGAGTCTAGGGATTTCACAGGCACCGTGTCACCCAGTCCCACTCACAAGCTTATTGATCTTCATCTTAAAATTGGTTATCTGTTTTGTCCCCACCATCGTTACCCTGTTTC